CCGAGGTGATAGGTTTCTGAGAGTCAGGCTATTCTGATTACTGCTTAGAAGGCTCTGATGCCCATTCTGGTAACCATACCCACTTTACCTTTGGTACGTAAGTGTTGCCACATGGCCCCTGCCACCCCAGGATACAATTAGTCCCCTGCATTTAAGGCTCCAGTTCAGCAGCAGCACTTTGCACTGTAGCTGCTAACCTACAGAGGTGACCACAGAACTCTTGGGCAGTGTTGGTTTCCTACAGCCGATTCCTGTCTCACAGTCATGGTAAGAGGTGTGGGTGAGCGGGTTGCCCACTCTGGCACCCCAATCCCCCTAAACCTTTGAATCCCTTCCTCTACATTCAACCACATTTCCAATTCTACTGTCGTGGGCCATCTTCCAGCCCATGTTTTAGCCAATCTGCCAAACGAACTGGCAGAGCCCTGCTAATCCCACAAGGTAAACCATTAAATCCAGAATCTCTGTTTCGTGGGGCCATGTCAGTAAATTTGGCCTAATTCAACTTTATGTGCCTTCCACCAGTATCCCATATTCCTTTTGTGTGTGTGTGTGTGTGTGTGTGTGTGTGTGTGTGTGTGTGTGTGTTTATTTTTGATATAGACAGAGTGCGAGCAGGCAGGGGCAGAGAGAGAGGGAGAGAGAGACTCCCAAGTAGGCTCCGTGCTTGTCAGCACAGAGCCCGATGCGGGGTTGGAACTCACGAACTGTGAGATCCTAACCTGAGCCGAAATCAAGAGCCAGATGCTTCACCGGCTGAGTCACCCAGGCGTCCCCCATCCTACATCATTAATATCTATCTCAACACACATTTCTCAGAATTCTGTCTGTAGAAATTGAAAAAAGAAATCATTTTGCATAGGCGTATCCAGTGCTGATACTTTATATATTTCTGTAGCTGTATTAGTGTTGTCTTTCATACTGGAAATAGAATCACTGGTGCCTTTAAATCTAATCAGATGAGAGAACAATTCTGGAAACCCCAGTACCAATTCACACAACTTCTCCTTAAAGGTTCTATTCCTCTAAAACCACTCTTGGTTCCAGAATCAGTCAGTCAGGATTTTCCAGACAAACAGAACCCCTATGTATGTATGTACACAAACATATATACATATACATAAATATAAATATTTATGTATGCATATGGAGACACACACACACACACACACACACACACACACACACACACGTGAAGAGAGAGATTTTAAAGAATTGGCGACATGACTTGGTGGCTGGCAAGTCTGAAACCTTTACATCAGCCTGGCAGGCTGGAACTCTCAGGCAGTTGATAGTGCTGTCTTCAGGCCGATTTCTTTCTTCAGAGAATCCTCAGCGTTTGCTTTTAAGGCCCTCTGACTTATTGGATAAGGCTGATGCATATTATGAGGATAATTTCCTATAATTAAAGTAAGTCGATTATAGATACTATCCACATGTACAAAGTTTTTCATGGCATAACCTAGATCAGATTTTGGTTGACTAACTGAGGACTATACCGTAGTCAATTTGACACATAAAGTTAACTCTTACAAATACCAAGCCTTTTTTATTCCAGAGTCTGCAGGTTGGCTGTGAGTAAGTCTATTTAGGTAGGGCGTGAGGGTGTCTCTGCTTCACCCTATGTTCTGTGGGCCATTTAGGAAAGTTTTCCTTTATGTATGTCATTGCGGGGCCAGGCTAAGTGGAGGGCGGCTTCTTGAGAAGGCTCTTCTCATGCAAGAAAGACAAGAGAGCAGGTGGGAACAGGTGAGGCCATTAAAGAAACCAATATATGGTCACTTCACTATTGGCAGGAGCAAGTCACATGGTCAAGTCCAGAGTCAATGTATGGACAAGCCACGCTCTCCATGATAAATATATGGCATGGAAGAGGATGCCAGGAAAGATACAGAATCTGGGTCAATCATTCAACCTTCCACAAGTATTTGCATATGGTAGCTTAGAGTTATTTACAGCCTTGACATCTTTTATCGTATCTGTAGAGAACTACGAGTTATCAGTATCACTTTCACCCAAATGATAGTGTTCATCTAAAAGATATTCTTTTGCTGTGGTGTTTCATTTTTCAAACCTATTTCTATTTGTTACTAAGTCAGATACTTTATTATGGATATATTTGTTATTTGATGAAGGCTGTCCCCAACTAAATATAATTTATTTCTGACATCATAGGTTGGTTTTATATAAATGGGAAGAAGCTAAAGGGATCAGGTAGAGTTATATGATTGCTTTCACTTGGAGGAACAGCTGGAGGTTTAGTCTAATTTTGCCTGGATAATATTACTGTGGTGCACCCTTAGGATAAATATTACTATGGTGTACCCTTACAACATGGTTATCATGTGCACGTGTACTTCCTTGCGGGAAATAAATAAATGGGGGAGGAAGAGGCATATCTTTTATCCAGAGTAATTTCATAGAATTCATGTAGACACTTCACCCTCAAGGAAGGAAAACATACCTCTCCCCTTCTTAAGTAGAAGCTGCTGATAGTGACTTCCAGCCAAAGAGTAAAGTGTGGAGAGAAGGGGAAAAAGAGTAACTTACCCGTGGGGAAACTTGACACTCTCCCAGCCGGGAGGTCAAGGTCAGCCTCCCCAGTGAGAAGTCCTGATGAGAGTGTGAACCTGTCATATGCTGGTGAAATGGCACTTATCTCTGTGGCATCCTCCCCAGATCTCTTAGCTCTAGTATAATCATGAGAAAAACATCAGAATAATCCCAATGGAAGTACACTCTACAAATCACTGACTAGTACTCCTCAAAACTGCCAAAGTCATTTAAAAAAAAAACAAGGTCTGAGAAACAGTCACAGCCAAGAGGAGCCTGAGATGTGGTGAAGAAATACAACACAGTGTCTAATGCAAGATGTTAATAATAGGGGAAAAAGAGCGTGGGGTGTATGGGACTCACCTTGCCATTTTCACAATATTTATGTAAATGTAAAGCTGTTCTGACATAAAAGTTTATAGAAAAAAAAGGCTCAAAATATTTGAAATGAAAGAACTGAATAGATTTTACTCCAATTTTTAAATTTATGGTCGCTGAAAACAGTTTTATTATAGCTATGATATTTATTGTTACCTACTAATTAAGTTGTTTTAAATCTCATAATTTTTTTTGGAAGAAACATCTGATATTACGACCTAAGTTAACTTTGATAAAAGACAATAGAAGTTTCAGTAAAAAGAAGGAAAATGTTAAAAGCGATGTAGGCACAGTGTAGCAATGTAGGCACAGTGTGCCATATTATTAATAATGATGTCTTATATGAACTGTAATATTCAGCATATGAAACTAACTATGAGATTACATTTAGACACATGGCTAAATAGCTCATCTATTTCTCGAGTAGCTTTTCAGTAGCAGAAATTGGTCTTGGAGATACCGGGTTTTTATATAATCAATAAATATTGAAATTCTACTTTTATGGTAAAGGAATAACTTTCTGTCAGTGTTGGAGATAAAAAGATATTTATAGTTTCTTCAAGCACAGTTTTTAAGAGCAACGTTGAAAAATAATCGTTAAGGCTAACAACCAATTTCTCACGGAGATCGAAACATTTAGTAACTTATATCATCAAATTGTAATTTTTATTATCCAATTGCCTTTCCTTTGCAAATGACTTGTTGTTACCTAGCCTTCTTATCATCAGCTTGCTGATGCGTGCCAATAAAGTGGATCCAGGCCCGCAACCCACAAAACGTACTGAGGGAGAATGCTCAGTACACTATGCTGCCTGTTCAGTTAGCTGTTGAAAATGGTCAGCCTCTTTTCTTTCAGAGGCAGTAGGAATCATCCAGCGAGAGCATCAGTGAACTTCTTGTTCTGGTTCACCCACACTTGCTTGATCAAGTGTTTATCATCTAGTACAACAGAAAATGACAAAGAGGGAAAAAACAGGTTAATGTTTCAAGGATTCAGAGGAGGAATAATTTTGAGGAGCCCAGTCTTCTAATGCGGATTTCACCATGCACTTTACTTTGAAGTCTCATTTACCTAAGCTCTGTTGTATTTTGGTGCTGCAATTTTTTCGTTGTGTCAGGGCATCAGTTTTCTATGACGGCCCTCAGTTTTATTAAGTTGACCACATAACTAAAATAAAATTCTCTGGGGCGCCTGGGTGGCTCAGTCGGTTAAGCGGCCGACTTCGGCCCAGGTCATGATCTCGCGGTCCGTGAGTTCGAGCCCTGCGTCGGGCTCTGTGCTGACAGCTCAGAGCCTGGAGCCTGTTTCGGATTCTGTGTCTCCCTCTCTCTGCCCCTCCCCCGCTCATGCTCTGTCTCTCTCTGTCTCAAAAATAAATAAACGTTAAAAAAAATTTTTTTTAAATAAAATTCTCTAAAATCGTTTAAAAAAAAAGAAAACCCACATATGCATTTATACTTAAATCTGTGCTGACAATTTAGGTATTATAATAACCAGAAAGTGAAACTGTGCCAGACATTTCATACATCGATTTATCTTAATATTATTCACTCTGATAAACAGCTTGTTTCCTTACATCATACTGTTTGTGAATAAAATTGTAAGTTCCAGAGAGGATTATTCATGCATGTAGCTGTTTAATTAAAAAGAGAAAGATTAGTCAACCTTTTTCCAGGAGATAACCGAATGAAAGGCAACTTTTAATTACTCCTTTGAAGTTTCTTTCCCAGTTGCAAACTCAGGTTTCAAAACGAACTCTGGGAATGAGCGAACACTGCAGAGAGGAGATCGATCCTATCACGGATCCTGTCTGAATGCTTGGTGGAGTGGGTCAAACCAAACCCTGGCAGTATGTCTATGCTTCACAGCATAGGGAGGGGTTAACACTTTACTTTTCGCTTCCTTCCTCTGTTTTCATTGCACCCGGGGAATTCTTGTCCCTTACAGGTGGCTGTAAACACAGGTGGCCCGTAGGATCCACTCCATAATTGCTTACACTTTATTAGCAGTCTGCACGCTTAACACTCGACGCGGTGCTTGATGGCTTCCCATTTTTCTGTCTTTTCAGACGACATCCTTTGCGGTGCCGTGGCACATGGATTTCAGGACTGCCTGTGAAGAGGTATGTTAAACGGCTTTCTGCTTTTTGAATAAGGAAAACAGGTTGTAAAGGGGACACGCTGGGCCCTCCTTTATGTGAGTGGAGCACTGCTTTTGGCGCAGGGATGGGTGACGGGTTCATTGCATGTCCAGGGTCTGATCTGTTTCTGCAAGACTAAAAAGCCAAAGAGTGCCTGGGGAGGACCCGGACTTTCACTCTTCCTTAAGAAGAAGACTGGAGCATATTTGATTTGATTCAATTGCCCTTCTCCATAAACTCTGCGCTCGCTGCATGATTTCAGGTAGTAGGAGTATTGGAAGGAATTCTTTTCACATAAATGGTTATAAATTAGAAGACATCTGAAGTCCCTTTCAGCACTAAAATCCTATGATTTTATGATTCCAATATTATTTAAGTAGTTCAATCTTATTTGAGTATTAGTACATGGCAATTCAGATCCTCTGTAGAGAAGCAGCTCGGTGTGAGTTAAAGTGACACATTGCTCTTTCAAGGGTATTAAAGGCCATTCAAGTGTGTGGTCAATGGTGCATGGAGTGAGGCCCCAGGGGATGTAACTGTTCTATTTTAGGAAAAAACACTGTGAGATGTCACTTGTTAAGTTTCTTGCAAAAATATCTTCTTTGAAAAACTATTTGTCACAGTTGGTTCAAAGTTTAGAACATAAGTAAGAAAATGAATAAATTGCTTTTATGTGTTTAATACCTAAGCTCTTTAATTTCCAAAGGATTTTCTTTATGCTAGTACATTTCAGATTACATTATAGTTATTTATTTACAAACCTCTCTTCGTGCAACACTAAAAATCATAATGTCAGAGTGTATAATTTATTCATCCTTTTAACCCAGTACCTATCAGTTCACGCTTTTAAAAAGAACAATTAATGCTTTAGAAACTTAAGTTTAGAAGCATGAGTTTAAATATGTGCCTGTTAAATACACAGTATCATACTCTTAATTTTGGATATAATAGGTCTACCATTTCCATCACAGTTTTTGTTCTTATGTTTTGGGCAGTAGAGCACTCATTGAAATATTTGTGTGAATGAGATAAAAATGAAAGAAAAAACCATATGAGATTCATGTGGGAGAGACAGGATGTGGCCAAGTACTGTCTGAACACATGGTTTACCTTGGATCTCAGAGGCTGAGCTAAGGCCTTCTGAGGCCTTCTACGGACTTCTCAGGCCTTTTTTTGTTTGTTTGTTTTTAAACAAAATTAGTTGATTCATTGGTTTGGAATATATATCAGGTTCCATTTAAGGGTCAGAGATTTATTTTACAATGATAATTGTATTCGCGGGAATACAGAACTATGGGATCGTCTAAACATGATCAAATCCCCCAGCCGATGAACCAAAGCCACTGAGTTTGCCTGAAATTTACAGTCTCAGAACATTCAAATGGACAGGAACCATAAAGACAATTTAGTTTAACACTCTCACTTTGAGAGGTTTTATGAAATTCTGAGTGCCATTTAATTAATTAGATAAAAGCAAAAGTGTAATGTAGAGCTTGGAATTCCTGAGTCTACGTTGGAGCCTTTTTCTAAATGATGTTGCTGGAAATGAGAACATAGTCAAAGGCATATTAAATAAAACTTGTTTTCTCTTGACTGTTAGTAAGCTATTAAAGATGAAAATCTGACTCTCATGTCCATCAGACAGATCTAGCTAGATTATAACCATGTACATACGGGGAAGTCTCTTCTTTGAACAGAAACAGAACTATGTCCAGATAAGCTCCATTCAGAATATCTTAATTTTCTAACACAGATCCTTTTTGTAAAAGATAGGTCGATTTATTAAGAAGGTTCTCCTCTTAAAAAGAAACAGTCTATAAAGTGCAAAAGTGAAGATAGAGAATAAATCCACAATTTACAGGAAAAGTCACATGTTAATGGGCAGGCATAATTACTGATTTTCTACTTTTAAAAGTGTCATCAAAATAATGATGTGGTCAGGAAGCCAATATGCTATCTTTAGTCTAAGTGTTCCTCAGATTTCATTTCCACATCGATATCCCTTAAAATACAATCCACATCTCGGTGTTGACCATGAAAATACATATTTTTATAACACATATTTAATAATTCAATAACTTATTTACATATATAACTTAATTTAGTCCCTCAAGTAATAGAATAGAATTTGTGACTGTGATTCAATCAACACATCCTGAAAGAAATCCTACTATCGATGAAATACTGTACTATCTCTACAAATTAATATTCCTTAATTATAAAAAGAGTAATAATTTATTATTAAGATCTTCTCATGATAACAAAATATATGATGAAGTTAAATACTGTGATACAGAACAGAATGTTACTGAAGTCACTACGTGATGACACGATTCTGGTTAATTGTTACGCGAATATATTTATTCAAAGAAAACCCAGAGTTCAGAAAAGGAAGCACCTGTCTTCGGATGGAGTAGTCTCGGAAAGCCTCAAGGCAAAGTGACTCTTGTACTAGTCGTTGACAAATGGAAGAGTGCAGCCATGGAGAAGGCCATGAGTGGAAGTAATCCTAGAAAGCAGGACAAGTACAGTTGGAGGCAGATTGCATCCAATGGCCTTTCCTGCCATGTTGCTATAATACAGTAGAGTATAAGCAATTACACATCACTTAAAGCTATAAGTATACAGAACAAATTAAGTTATATTTGACAACCAAAATATGGAAGTACCAAGGACACTTGCAAAGCTATGCACAAGGCATGACATAGTCTCTGCCCAGTTCCTTGTGGTTTGTATTTTTTTATGTCTGATATTGCACATTTTATATTTTTAGTTTTTAAACATTTATGTATGTATGTATGTATGTATGTATGTATGTATGTATTGAGAGACAGAGAGAGAGAGAATCCCAGACAGGTTCTATGCTGACAGCACAGAGCTCAACGCGGGGCTCAATCTCTTGGGAGGTTCTGACCCGAGTCGAAATCAAGAGTCGGCCACTTAACTGACTGAGCCACCCAGGCGCCCCACAAATTTTATATTTCAAGATTAAAGGAACATAGATTTTAAAGTTTCATGAAAACAACATGTTGTGTTCTTTCGATGTCTAGAACTCCAATTAAAGAGGCCTTAACTTTTAAGTGTCAAATTATAGTCTGTTTTTTAAAGTTCCAAGGTAGGAGGATTAAGCTCAAGATAAGTTCTTCATAAGTTTAAAACAGAGTAAATCCATGTGAATTCATAAACACATTTCATTGATTTACAGAAAGCAAGTCAATGACTAGATTTTTAAAAAGCATTGCCTGTTAAATAATGAAGAGGCATGGCCTTTTACTATTCCTCTAAGCGAACAAAGTGGATTTTGTAAAATCCCCCTGCAGTATTGGATCACCCACATCAGGCACAGGAAAACAACATTTGAATTTAATTCATTTTTTTGATGAATCATCCCTTTAACATTTCAAGTTTTCTGTATGTTTTACAATTTATGTAATGTACTGTACACGTCTCTATAGAGCACCTACATTTCTTCCCTACACTGTCCACACGGTTTGAAGACCAATGATGGTGATGTTAATAAACAAACAGAAGATGAATGCAGTTCTTCAGTTTCTTTCACTAAAATGTGCAGCCAATAATTCTCTAGGAGATTTTTTATTGTTCAGCCGTCTGGGTGCACAGATGTAGAGACCGTGGCTGGACTCTCTTAGGTTGTACGGCTAGAGCGGTCGCTCTCATGGTCCTGGTTCCCGTTATTTTTTGTTTAATTTTTTTTAAGTGTTTACTTATTTTTGACAGAGAGAGAGAGAGAGAGAGAGAGAGAGAGGGAGCATGAGGGGGGACGGGCAGAGAGTGAGGGAAACACAGAATCCAAAATGGGCTCCAGGCTCCAAGCTGTCAGCGCAGAGCCCGATGCGGGGCTCGAACTCACAAACCATGAATTCGTGACCTGAGCCCAAGTCAGATACTCAACCGACTGAGCCACCCAGGTGCCCCTCCTGGTTACCATTCTTATTGGAAGCAATCCATGGGGGATGAGACCGTTTAGATCAAGCCTCTCCCAGTATCAGACAGTGTCCTATGCGTCCCCCATAGCTCGTCTTTGATGGGACAATCCGCAGGTCAGCATGGCCTCACTCGCTTTAACCCCCCCTCCCCCACAGTGGTCATTGCTTTGATACAGGAGGAACAGCTGCTTCAAGATGATGTCCTTCTTTGCATTCCCCTAGGAAATTCTTGGTGACCCTCTAGTCACCAAGAGCACTTTTTCTACCACCTGGTGAGAGACACTGATGGCCATGTCATTGCATACAGGAGGATCGGGGGAGGCATCCCTCAACTAATCCGTGCACGAGGGAAACCAGAGCAAGTAGCTAAGAGCGCCGCATCTGGAGCCCAGCAGTCTGGGTTCAAATCCTGCCTTCCACTCACCTCTGCTGCTCTGCTCTTTTCCTGGCTATGAAACAACTTGCACTGGGTTGTCAGGAGGATCAAATGAAATACTATTTCTGGGCACACAGCAGCGCTATGCAAGTGACTAGTAAACAATGAAAAGCCACACGGCCACATTTCACTAGAGATGATACCGGCCCAGCGGAGCTGCTCTGAATCAGAAGGGTACCCAGTTTTTCATCCACGGCCTCAGCTCTGCTTCTAATGCAGTTGTTGACCAAGCGCCAACATTTTCTGCTCCAGCTCTATACTTGTGTCAACAAAAACCGTGCTGTAACTTTCCCAGTTCCTATCCGCCTCCTGCTCTGCCATAAGAAATATATTTATAAAACATAAATCCTGTTCAGGTTTCTCTGGGGCATCTCTGATACCTTTAACCGCCCGGGACATCACACCAGGGCCTTGACCTTCCTCCTCTACACCCGGCACCTCTCCTCCCTCTGCCTCTCTCGGATCGTTGCAGACTTGGCATCGGGGATGCATGTTCGTGCTTCTCCCTTCTTCTTGCATCATGTCGGCTCTCCAATCTCACACTTTCATATCTTTACTCATTCTTCCTTCTTGAGTCAAATAGCTGTCGCCTCCTCTAATTATTATTTTCTTATTTTTTAAGACAAACTGTACGTTTTTCTATAGCCAAAGGTGTCTTTAACACCTCCCTCCCTCGAGAATACTTAATTCTTCTCTCCATGTTGCTCCCATATCAGATATCACAGTGCATTTTGTGGACATATGCGTATTTTTGTAAGTAAGAATACTCTGAGGTCAGAGACTATTGTCTGACTCACATCTGACTCACTCTTACATTTTTTTTGGCCAAAAAAACTATTTGCAAAGTTTGCAGTATTTGCAAAATGGATGTATGTATGGGATTTTAAATGTATTTGCATGCACACAGCTGAGTTTTTATAATCAGATATATGTATCATCTCTTACCCCTAGAGACTATATTTTAAGTTGAATTTGTTGTTAGCTTTGTGAGTCCCTTTTTTCTATTTTCTCCAAACAGCTATTTATTGGTGTGTGTGTGTGTGTGTGTGTGTGTGTGTGTGTGTGTGTGTGTGTATTCATTCTAACAAAATCTGCTTCGTTCTTTGTTTTCTTTAATTCTGTCTTCCCAGGACCCAAATCTGAGCTCAAAGTCTGTATTTTCTTTTGCAGACAACTATCTAATAATGAGGGGGCATTTTATACATTATTTGAGTGAATGGAGCTCTGACCACATCAGACGTAATGACAGAAGTCTCATAGCTGTGTTTTTGTCCCTCAAACTTTCCCTGGATGATCTTTGATATCTCTTTGATGTGTAACAATAATGTATTGATGGGCTCTCAGGGAAAACCCCTTTTTTCATCCTCACATCGAGACAGCGTTATTTGTGATTGCCAGCCATTCCATTACACTTCGGGGAGAAAATTGGCCCGAATGTACTGTACATTAAAAAATCAGCAAATGTGCTCAATTATGTTCACTTGGCTTTGATATTATTTTATATCTTCCTCTTCCCCATGCCATCTCAGAGTGGTGCCCAGCCAAGATCACATTGTAAGCATGAAAGACTTTTCTCTGTGAAAAATGTAGAAAATTATGTTCTATATTAAGGAAAATAGAATTTGCTTTTGCTGAAATATTTTTGTCCTCGAGACACATCCACTTGAGTTATGGTCTAGAATAGACTAATCAACACAATTTACTGAGTGTCTGCAGTGCACCAGTCCCATAAAGGAGGAAAGCACACCATCCTTGGTCCCGGAAGAAGCTTGTTTTTCCCTAAAAGACATCATAACCCTTACAGAATAATATATGGGGTGTAATGGCATGTATTAGCACATGGAATAACGCAGTTTGCAGAAAGAATTGTTTTTAGAGGCCGCGGTATCTAAGTATATTCTCATTTACATTATGGAACATTCTATTAAAGAAACATACCCCTGGAGACCCACATGTGAATTTGTATTGCAAGAGAAAGTCTGGCATTATTGCCCGGGATTTTGTGCTCATTAAATACTAAGGGTAAATATGTATTTCTGTGTACTTATCCATTTATCCAAATTAAGAATGGCTCAATACTTATGAAATGAAAATGTAATTGCCAAGGTAGCCATTGTTCCTGTTGACTTTTTGGTGCAGAATAGCAGCCAGGGATGATTTTCTGTCTCAGAGGAATTTCCTTTTGTATTTCTGATGAATAGGAACCTTCAGTGCTCTTGCTAGGGAGCATATTTCTGTGGATCTGGGTGAGTGTTATACCCTGGTCTGCTTCAGGAGACACGGGCTTCGTGGGCTTCTTCCACAATCACTGAGGTCCTGGCGTAAAGCCACGCAGTGCAAGTTCCGCCACCTTCACGGGCTGTTTTGACAAGTCCCCGAAATATCTGAAACAGATCAGTGGACTGGGAACCGTACATCTTGAGTCTGAAGTCAGGCGGCTTTTAATTAACTGCATTCATGTAGACAGTTCTCCTCACACCTGTATCCTCATTTCTTTAGCTGGGCCGTGTATGTGTGCATGCCTGAGTGTTTGTGAGTGGGTGTGTACGCGTGTCCAAGTATGTGTGTCTGTGTGCTTGGTGGCTAGGAATGATGAAATCGTGGAGGTTCCAAAAGATGTTAAGTACGTAGAGTTTCAGATTTAAAATTCCACCACAGAGGCAGAACCTAGGCTAGTGGTTGCCTAGGGCTAGGGCGAGGGGTGGGGCGATGGACGTAACAGGTTTCCCTTTGGAGGGATGAAAATGTTCTAAAATTGATTATAATGATGCCTGCACGACTTTGAATGCACTAAAAAACACTGACTTGTACATCCTAAAGGGTTGACTTATATAGGAGGTGACATGTATCTCAATAAATCCGTTACCAAAATGTTGTACTTAGGTTATAAGTATTAAACAAAACTCATCATTTTTCAGATATGGTGTATAAACTATCCTCCTCCCTGGCCTCATCTGATGTGGATTTTCTGACATAGCCTCCATTACCTGAGGTCACCTCACATGAAATGGTTAACCTTGCCTGCACCTGTATTAAGTATCAAATTCCAGATTCATCAGTGCGCAGTTTCCTTAGGTCTCAAATGCTATTCATCATGTTTTGCTGTGAGTCGGCCATAAAATTATATTCTGTAAACTGAGTGTAATTTATTTTCTCTGTTTTGTTCTCTCCCTGCCTGAAGACAAAGACAGGGATTTGTTTGCTGCAGGATGGTAATCAGGAGCCTTTCAAAGTCCGGCTGCACCTAGCTAAAGATATTTTGATGATCCAGGAGCAAGATGTGATATGTGTGTCTGGTGAACCTTTCTATTCTGGTGTAAGTAGCTCTTCCTTCTGTTGAAGTTTGTTGTTTTTTCTTTTTTTTTTTTTTAATTTGTTCTGTTAACAAAAATGTTTATTCACAGAAAATTCATAATATATTTTCTTTTACCCTCCGAGCCTAGTCAGTCGTCTTGCGTGTCAGCTTTGTTCACATTATTAAGTAAGCACTGTCCTTTTCCAAGTACCAAACCCGGGTCCACAGCCACACAAGGGCCCATCCCTACACACGAAGGCACCTTGCGGACTCCCGGCTGTGGTTATGGGGCTGCGGTGACACTTCTATCATCTGACCTTGAGCAGGTGCATTCCAGCTTTTTACACGGAGTACTGTCTGAGAACAGTGCAGGGCAGTTTTTCCTACCGTGACCTTACATCATTGCCTACCCTGACGGATGCATCACATTGAACTTTGCAGGTGGTGCCAACGTGGAGCCCAATTCTTCGCACCTGGGAAGCGTGAGGCTTTAGGTGGCAGTCACTGGACTCAATGTCAACGCTTTTCCCCAGGGGAAAGGGCATGAATGATTCCATAGACCTCCCTGATAGAATTATGCCTAAGTGTCATAGCAAGGTCTCTCTGATGCCCCGACTGGTTGGCATATTACCTCGCCGCTAATCCAGTCTCAGAAAGGGCCATAAATCATCACTCGAGACTCATTGGTCTGCTTAGTAACACTGAAGTACAGCTGTGGAAGACATCCTTAGGTGAAATTAGATTATACTTGACAAAACAACTTTGTCATTAAAGAGGACAACTTTCAGAGTTTATCACTTATTGTGTAATAACATTAAATACATTATTTTAACAGCGTTGCCATATGTGATCTCAGAAGAAAATTATAGAAAACAACAAACATTCGGCTTCCTTGGATTCCCCGGACATCTATAGCTATTTAGCACAAAGATTTAATTTGTAGCTTATTAACAGACTTACTTCAGAGTGTTTTGTTGGTGACGAATAATGCTGAACTTGAGTTTCCACCTCGCTTGTCACCAACATCCTATGGGAGTCACACCGGGTCCTAAATCAATAGGCCTTTGCTAACTAAAGATAATGGGCATTTTGCAGACTGTTAACTATTCTTTTGTCACAGACCATTTAAATCATCCTGAATCATGGGTCTGGCTGTCAAAGCTGATTAAATTGTTCCCACAGGGTGCCCTTTCTTCCTTTTAGTTAATTAAACAATAGCAGTCAATAGTCAATTCCTTCCTCCCTTCCTCCCTCCCTTCCTCCCTCCCTCCCTCCCTCCCTCCCTCCCTCCCTTCCTTCCTTCCTTCCTTCCTTCCTTCCTTCCTTCCTCCCCCACTCTATTCCCTCTCCTCCTCCCCTCTCTCTTTCTCTGTCTCTTTTCAGTGAAGCAATACAACTCCCTTTGGAATGAATATCTTACACAAGTCCTAGAACAATAAAATGCTGTCATTTGTAAAATCCGGACTATCAACATGGAGATAATATTATTGATTTTAATCTATGCAATCAAAATAGCTAATATACGTAAACCTAATCTCTCTTTTGAAAAGAAAGTTAGGAAGAACTTGATAGAATCAAGGAGAAACATTCTATGATAATGTCAACACATGCAAAAACAAATTGACACAATTTGGCAGTCATTTATAAGAAACACTTTCAGCAAAGTCTGGATAGGATGGAACTCCCTTAAGCCAATAATCTCCTAATGAACACTTCTTACTAACTTTATCATCCACATTGAAGAACTCTCTGAGGTTGTAAGCAAGGCACAGATCATCACTTGCCACATTTTTACTCAATATTGTTTTGGTTGTACAGTAAGTCAGGAAATGGATATAAATGGCATAACAGTTGAAAAAGGAGATAAAACAAGTTTATTTTAGATGCCATGATGGTGTGTGTAGAAAACTCTAAGAAATCTACAAAAAATAGAATGACATACAAATTCATCAAGGTTGCTGAAAATAAGGACGATGTCCAAAGTTAGTCATATTTCTATAATTTGCAACACAAAAACAAAAATGGAATCTACAATACATCAAAGGGATAAGAAATTTAGCAAAATATGTACAAAGCTTTTACCTTGAAAACTACAATACTGTGATAAATGAAATGAAGATACACAAGCCAATGGAGAAATGTAACTTGATTGTGAGTTAACGACTAAATATTGTTAAGTTGTCACATCTTCCTAAACACTCATTATCAATCAAAATCCCCAAAATGTTTTTGTAGACCACGACAGGCTATTGCTAGGAGTTACATGGCAATACAACGACTCCAGTATAGCCCAAACAATCTTGAATAAGGAGAGCAAAGTTGGAGTGTTTATACTTCCCACTTTCAGAACTTACTATAAGATTGCAATAATGAATGCAATGTGAGATTGTCACAAGTACAGGTACATGAATCAATGGAACATTATAGAGTCCGGAAACAGACCCATGCTTATATGGCCAATTGCTTTTTTTTTTTTTTTTTTTTTACTGTAGTAAACTATGCATAACATAAAAGTTATCACTTTAACCATTTTTAAGGGTACAGTTCAGTGGCACTGAGCATATTCACATTGATGTGAACCTATCACTACTATCAGTATCGAGAATTTTCATCATCTCATACTAAAACTCTGGGTCCGTTAAGTATTTCCCAGACCCTCTCCCTTCAGCCCCTGGTAACCTCTATACTACTTCCTGTTTCTATGTATTGACTAATATAAGTGGAATCACACACCATTCAGCCATTTGTGTCTGGTTTATTTCATTCGGTATACCATCTTTAAAGTTCATCCATGCTGTAGCAAATGTCAGAATTTCCTTCCTTTATAAGACTGTGTAATATTCTGTTGCATGGATATCGCATCTTTTGTTGATCTTGTTTATCCATCCACCCAACAGTGTATATTTGGGTTGCTTTCGCCTTTTGGCCTTTGTGAATAATGCTAATATGAACATGGGAACACAAGTATCTGAGTCCCTGTTTTTAATTCTTTTGGATACATTCCCGGAAGTGGAATTGCTGCATGAAATGGTAATTCTGTAGCAATTTTTTGTTCAATCTCTTAGCAGATATGTAATTTGCAAATACTCTCTCCCCACCTGTGGCTTGCCTTTTACTCTGTTGTTTCCTTTGATGCGGAGTTTTTGATTTTGATGAAGTTCAATTTATCTCTCTGGACTTTTGGTGTTACAGCTAAGCAATCATTGCCAGATCCAATGTCATGAGTATTTTCCCCTACATTTTCTTCTAAGAGTTCCTAGTTTCAGTTCTTATGTGTACATCATGTACATCATGTACATTGATTTATTTTGAATTAATTTTTGTATATGATTTTGGTTAAGGGTCCAACTTCATTCTTTTGCAGGTGAGTATCCAGTTTTCCTACACTGTTACATCTTGGTACCCTTGTCAACAGTTATTTGACCTTGTACGTGTGGGTTTATTTCTGGACTCTCTGTTCTGTAGCATTGGTCTATCCATCTGTTTGTGTGTGAGTACAATACTGTTTTGATTACCTTAGTTTTGTGGCAAATGTTGAAATCAGGAAGTGTGTACCATACAGCTTTGTTCTTTCGCAAGAATGTTTTGGCTACATGAGAGTTCCTTGAGAGTCTATATAAATTTTAGGATGGATGTTTATATTTCCATGAAAATTGACATGGGGATTTTAATGAGCATAGCACTGAAGGAGTAGCTAGCTTTGGATAATAATGACATTTTAACAGTATTGAGCCTTCTAAACCAATGAACACAGGATGTCTTTTCATGTATTTACATCTTTATTTTCTTTCAGTAAAATGGGTTGTGGTTTTTAGTGCATATCTGTCACCTTCTTGGTGAGTTAATTCACCTATTTTATTATTTTTGATGCTATTGTAAATGGAGCTGCTTTCTTAATTTTCTTTTCATTGTTGAACTGATTTGTGTGTGTTCACTTTGTATCCTGCTACTCTGCTGATTTTTTCTTTAGTTTTAATGGGTGTGTGTGTGTGTGTGTGTGTGTGTGTCATAGAAGGAAAAGTGAAAGTTCACAAATTTGTGGAAATTAAGAAATTTTTAAGCACCCAATGAGAAAAGGAGAAATCACAAAGGAAAATACAACATACACAAAGACGAGTGAAAATGAAAAGTACGACATATCAAACTTTGAGCTGCAGTGGAAACTGCCAAGAAGGGAAACTTTAGCTGCAAAGTGTAGGTTTTCTGCATAGAAGATCATGTCATCGGGGCGCCTGGGTGGCGCAGTCGGTTAAGCGTCCGACTTCAGCCAGGTCACGATCTCGCGGTCCAGGAGTTCGAGCCCCGCGTCGGGCTCTGGGCTGATGGCTCAGAGCCTGGAGCCTGTTTCCGATTCTGTGTCTCCCTCTCTCTCTGCCCCTCCCTCGTTCATGCTCTGTTTCTCTCTGTCCCAAAAATAAATAAAAAACGTTGAAAAAAAATTAAAAAAAAAAAAAGATCATGTCATCTGTGAGCAGAGGTAATTTTAATTTTCTTTCCAATTTGTATATCCTTTATATCTTTTTCTTGTTTCATTTCTTTGGCTAAGACCTGTAGTGCTACATTTCACAGAGATGCTGAAAGTGGGCCCCTTGGCCTTGCTTTTGCTCTTGGAGACGACACTGTAAGTCCTTCACCTCTGAGGCCAGTCTTACCTGTAGGTTTTTCATATATGCCTTTATTCTATTGAGGTAGTTTTCTTCTATTCTTAGTTTTTTGAGTGTTGAAAGGGTGTTGAATTTGTCAGATTTTTTTTTCTGCATCAACTGATGTCATTGTGTCTGTGTGTGTCCTTCACTCTGTGAATATGGTATATTACAATGGCTGAATTTCACGTGTTGGATCATTCTTGCATTCCAAAAACAAATCCCACTTTGTCATGATCTATAATATTTTTAATACGTTGCTGAATTCAGTTTGCTAGTATTTTGTTGACGATTTCGCATCGATGCTCATAAGGGTCTGTAGCTTTCTTTTCTTGTAGTCTTTCTGGTTTTGGCACCAAGGTAATGCTGGCCTCAAAA